ACAAGCTGCCGCTCCACGTCCCTTTTTGTCGTCCGTCACGCCGGACGAGCAAGACCACCCGGGCTCCCTCCGTGGGAGAATAACGTGCTCGGCGCACGTTCTCCACGTGCTCCCCTCCGCGGGGACACGTCATCGGCCAACCGCCCACCTCCGAAAGAGCAGGTCAAACCCACTTTCCGGAGACCTAGGAGCGGTTGAACTAGGGCGAAGACCACGTCCTGGTCTTCACTACGCCACGTAAGCCCTAGCAGTCATTTGGGTTGGGCCTGGTCGTCTGGCCCACCTCGGATGACCGTTGGCCCAGCGCTGGGGTCTCTCTATAAATACCCTCTTCTTCAAGAGGGTCAGGTAACTCTTCTTGCCCCTTTTCTGTACTATTGCTTCCTCTCTGTCCAACTTCTTACTTGGGCGTCGGAGTGCTTTGCAGGTACACCCCCCTCCTCTTTCTCACCCCGGCGAACAGATAACCGTCCAGCGGAGTGTGGCCAGTCCGTGATCCCTCCTGATCAGGTCAAATCACATATAATATATGGTTTGTACCTCTTCTTGAAGCTTTCCTCCATGAATCATGGATGAATGACTTTTCAGTGGATCATCATCTTCCTTTCTTGAGTTCTATGTATTATCCTAGTGGTAAAAATGTTTCTTGCTGAGTTACCTCTAGACTTTTGGCTTTTTCATGAGCCTATGGTGATACGTATGGCGACTGAGAAAGAACTCACACAAGAAGCAAGAACAAAGAAGAATGTATGCGTTAAGGCTTGAAACTACAAATAATCCCTACAAATTATACTAGGGTTTCACCTTTGGTACTCAAATTTTCTTAGGTCTCGGTGCGTTAGTGCTTCTACAGGGTCTAGGTTTATTACCTTAATATCTTTTTAATTTTTCAACACAAAAGGTCTCTAAGTGGTCAAATCTATTACAATGTGAGCATTTATAAAAATGATGATTCAGTTTCTTCCTAGTTACTTCTTTACTAAATGCTCTATTAGATTGAAACCCTAAAATATTTTCATTAAAGGAAGGCTTTTGAATTGATAAGATCAAGTTAGTATTTCTTTTCCCCTTAGTAAACTTACTTAGGCTTTCATATAGGTCTCTCACTCCTTTTTCAACGAGACACAAGTCTCACATGTCCCAACTGAGTTTCTACTATTAGTTATTTCAAAATTAATCATTTTATTACTTTCTTCGAGAAACTCTATATACTCTTTGAGGTCTAAGTTACATTTTTTTCTTATCATTTTATTCAATTAACTTAGTACTTATTATAAATAATTGTGTGTAATATTTCTTAGTTATCTCATAATAATCTTCCTTGTGAGATACTTTCAAGCAGGCTTTGTGTTCTTCATCATAGGAAAATTCTTCAAGGGTTCTTCCAAAGGTTGACTCTGCATCTTTTTCAGAGGTTTTATTTTATCTTCTTATCTCGAAGATTCCACTATATGATGTTTCTTCTTCACATCTTCTCACGGATAAATTTCCTTTAATTGAATACTCTAAGAATTGTTCAACTACCGAGTATGTTATTTTGAAGGAAGCCATGAGAGTTGTTTGATAGGAGTTTGATGAAGTTGTTGAGGATTCTTCAATCTCTGAGCTTATACCTTCATCTTTAAGTAATTGAAGTAATTCGTTCTACTTTTCTATTATTTCATCCTTCTTTGATTTTTTCTAAAATTCATAAACACTCTCATATTTTAATTTAAGGATTGGATCAGATTTTTTATTCTAGTTCTTAACTCTTAGATATTGGTTAGTGACAAAAGTTCTAATAGAATTTTTAACCTTTCTAAATTTGGAGAACAAGTTATGGATGAAGCATTCATCTTCTTTGCCTCGTGTGTTTATTTTCTCTTGTTCGATACTTGGAGAAATTTCATATATCATTTCAAGAGTATCAAACATTTCCTTGGCAGATTTAAAGTTAAAAACATAAATAAGTTTACTATTATCTAAATACATTACTAGAAAATTTTTGGTTTTGAAATTAATTTTAAATTTTCTCATTTTTCAAAGGAAATCGAGTTTATCTACTACTTCTCCATTTATTTGCTGAGTAGGTATATACGGACAGTCAATTACAGTTGTCCACAATTCAATATCAATACTTTGAATAAAATTTTTGAATCTAGCTTTCCATAGTTCAAAGTAAAACTATTAAACGATGGAGGTGTGTTTAGGAAAGATCTCTTATTATAAAAGGTGTTGGAAGTCATCTTCCTCCTAAGACAATTAGTCTTTGAATATGAGTTAGACTATGATGCCACTTGTTGGACATGATGCTCCACACATAAGAGGGGGTTGTGGGTTTTAGAAAAACGATAATTTGAAATCATTTTATTGTCATTTTCTAAGTTTAAAACCATTTTGATAAAAATGTTTTAGAAATAGCAATGGAATATAAATATGCGTTAAGTAAAGAGTTAAGGGTAAAAAGACCTAATCATTTCCTCAAGGTCTTTAATCCTGCAATGCAATCAAACACAACACAATTTACAAGTATTTCAGAAACATCAAGCAAGGACGTAAGCCCCCAATGAGAAATATTTCCATTTGGAATAATTGATATTCCTAGCTTGAGAACGTAAATTTCTTTATTTTTGAACAGGGTCTCATTATTATTTGCTCCAAAAGAGGAGGAGATGTGTTCAAGCACTACCACTCAAATTGGCTTCAAACAGTCCCTTGTAATCCTGAAGCGATCAAATTCAATTTTGTTCCTATTTCATCACATATGACTGGAATTCCTGGAAGTTGCTATCTTAGTCATGCAATCAATTTTTATTTACATTGCACGTTCTTCTCATACGCTATAATCCATTGCATTTATCCATATCAGGTTTTGAACTATTGCAATTTATATAGATTTTTTGCGGTGTAGATAGGTTCCAGATTAGAAGCTAAGTGCATTTATTGGTGAAAAAAATTGTTATTGTAAGTATCAAACATTTGTATGTTTGGTTTATTTTTATTTAGTCATACACTATTGATGCAACATTTGGTCAAGTACACTTTTGAAAGTAAACTATGTGTGTGAGAGAGAGAGATTAACCATACACTCTATTAAAAAGCCCTTATGATTTTACAAAAATTTGCCCATAGCCATTCTGACAGTTCCTAACTTATCTGACACGATTTCAAGGCATTTTTAAAAACAAATCCTTGAGTAAAATAAGTTAAAAAACCCTTGTGTGTGCGCGCGCGCGCGGGTGGGTGTGTGTTTGTGTTTGTGTGTGTATGTGGGTGCTGTGTGTGAGTGCGTGTGTTTGTGTGTGTGTCCAACACATTTTTGTATGTTTCCTAATTGAACTAACATATTTGGAGAAAGAAATTGAACTAAAGTAACTAATTGATAAACTTTTCCTACATTGTTGTGTACGTAGCTTTTATACAAATAGTCATTGAAACAAGTTTATATATCTATTAAGTAAAACACAACTTTTATATTTATATAATTTCTATTAATGTATACTTTAAATATAGGTCCCTCATAGATATGAATTATGTAACGAGTTAATAAAAAAATTTGCTTGCTCATATTGTGGAAATTATATGAAATGGGAAAAATAAAACTACTGATCTAAAAATGTAGTGAGTCAATACAATTTTAATAATTTTTTTTTCTCATATCATGGTAATTATATGAAATGGAAAAAATGAAACTACTAATCCAATTATAAATTATGTAGTGAGTCAATACAATTTTAAAAATTTTGTTTGCTCATATTAGAAAAATGATATGAAATGGAAAAAATGAAACTACTAATCAAAATATGTAGTGACTCAATAAAATTATAATAAATTTTGTTTTCTTATATCGTGGAAATTATCTGAAATGAGAAAAATAAAATTATTAATCCAATTATGAATTATATAGAATTAATAAAGTTTTAATAAATTTTCTTTTCTCATATTATAGAAATTATATGAAATAGAAAAAAATGAAACTACTGATTTAATTATGAATGAAATAGAAAAAAATGAAACTACTGATTTAATTATGAATTATACAATGAGTCAATAGAATTTTAATAAATTATGTTTTTTCATTATGTTTTCTCTTGTCGTGGAAATTATATGAAACAAGAAAAATAAAATTATTGATCTACTTCTGAATTATGTAATGAGTCAATAAAATTTTAATAAATTTTCCTTGCTCATATTATGAAAATTATATGAAATATGAATAATGAAACTATTAATTTAAATATGTAGTGAGTCAATAAAATTTTAATAAATTTTAGTTTTTCGTGTCGTGAAATTATATGAAACAAAAAAATACTATTAATCCAAATAAGTAATGCGTTAATAAAATTTTAATATATTTTATTTTTTATATTGTAAAAATTATATGAAACAGAAAAAATAAAATTAATGAAAAATGAAAATTTATTAACCATTTTTTTAAATATATAAAAAAATTAAAAACTTATCATAAAAAATCAATCGGATATTTTAAAATTATACTCTTTCTTATAAAATAATTTTGTTATTTATAAAAAACTCAAATAATTTATTTATTTAATACAAATTTCAATACTTTTTATTTTTAAATAGATTATTCTTAATATTGTTGTTTAAATTTGATATTCTACCTGCATTATTATTTCAAAATTAAATTACTATTATCCTTAAATGTTTTCTTTTTTACAACTTCCTATTTTTATTATATCCTCAAACAAATATACATCTAGAACCATATGCCGCCCTAAAACATATCTATGCGTATTCTAGTATTTGTTAGTAGTTACATTAACCATTCAATTGGTTAGTGGGATTAATAGCTTATTTTTATACTCATGACATGTCATGATTCCAAAGCATAAATGCTTTTGAGACTTTGAATTTTTTATTATTCTCATTTTCCACCCATTATTCAAAACACAGTCGTTTGAACATGGTGTCTACACATAATTGTTACTATTACAAGGAATTGGATTCAATTATCTATTACAAAGACTAGCCCATAGGAAAAGATATAATAAAATCTTTCAAAACAAAAACCCAGTCATAACCTCATTTCCATTATTTTCCATTTTCTTCTCCCAACTTCCACTCATCTGAAACTCAAAACTCTTCACCATACTCTCCGGCACAGAAACCACCACTCTCACACCATCACCACCGCCACTAATCACCGGTAAAAACAAACAATAAACATCACTGGTCAAAGGACCCATATGCAACGCTTTCCCCTCTCCAAAATCCACATCTTCTAACCCTAGTTTCGACCACTGAGAAATAACCAAACTAGTCGAAACATCTGTTTTTACCGTTTTGTCCTCCAACAAATCAATCGTCGATCTTATATATTCCTCATCATTCACCGTTGATTTCGCCTTTTGCACTAACTTCACAACATGGTGAAGGTTATTATTATTATTATTCCCCACTAAGTCCTCTATTTTACTTTCGGCGCACGCTAGTAGAAACCCATTTCCGTAATATCCTTTTGGTAAATTCATAACGGAGCGAAAGTTAACAGAGAATAGTAGCTTCATGTTTAACGTGGAGGGTAACGGTAATGGTAAATTTAATGAACGAATCCAAGAGCGCCACGTGTGCGCTGCGATTACTTCAAAGGTGGTGCATTTTAGTGAAGGGGTGCATTGTTTTTTTAAGTAGAGGATATGGTTGGAATTAAAGGTAAAGGATGTGGGTATTAAGGGTTGGGATTGTATTGATTTGTGGAGGTTTATTTGAGGGTGTGGTTGGGATCTGGTGTATGCGGGGTTGTGGAGGTTTACCGTGGGGGGTTGACGTGGGTGCAACACGTGGCGTGAGTGGAAGGGTAGGATAGTCAAATTTGTTTGAGGGGATGTGGTGAGATGTGCCCATGCGTGGAGGAATTGAGATGTTCCGATTCCGTCGCATAGGCCGTGGTTGATTGCGGTGCAGAGAATCATTCCCCCGCAACTGAGACTCGTTAACTGCATATATGAAACAATTTCAGAGGGCTTTTTAGTCAATATTTTTAATATATATTAAGAGGATTTTTTTTGGTTAAATTAGATATTAAGAGGATTATAAATACAAGTAGTAAAAAAATAATTGTGATGAAATGAAAAAGAGTGGTGGATTTGGGAGATAAATTGTGATAAGGGTTTTGATGTGCTCTTTTACAAGTGAGATTTTAGTCCTAAGCAATTCGTTAAATATATATTTTTTTAAGATTAACCATTGGAAAAGATGTCACGTCTAATGTTTTAAAAAACCAATAAGATTGGTCGACTCAATCGGTCAAATAAAAAATAAAAAGAATTTCAATTTGAATGAACTGTTAAATCGATCATATAATCAAATTGACGAAAATTATTTCAAATTGATCAAAATTAATAAAATTTGATGAGTATAAAGCTTTTACAAATCAAAGATTAATACTTATTATATTATTTTACTTTTTAAAAGTCAAGACGACCTCGTTTTTGTAATTATTACTTTAAAAAGGATAATAATAAAACTAACACAAATTTAAAATAGAAAATATATTTAAAATTTTAAAATTTTATAAGGAGTAAAAAATTGCGTGTCAAAACTTTATCTTTATTCTTAAAATAAACTTAAACAAAAATATTTTAAGAAAAATGAATTTAAACTATGAAATTTTAGATATTTTTTAGTGTAATCAATGTTTTAAAAATCGAACCGGCCATCGAACCAGTAAGGATATTTGGTCATTGATTTATCGGTCGAACTATTTGGTCACTAGTCGAACCGCATGACTAAACCGGATTAGACCGGATGACTCGATTGAATAGACCTGTCATTATATAGATATAAAATCGGTCGAACCGGATGATTCAGTTTCTAAAAAAATATAACTAGTACTTAAATTTTTTGAAAATATCATATCATAAATTTACAAGTTCATAATTTAAATTCAAATTTTAAACAAATATATCACACATAACAACATAATACAAACTTACAAAATCTAATTGCAACAACTTCCCCATCAGTGATATCATTTATTGATTATTATGAAATAAGAGGTAACTATTTATAATTAAAATATGATTCTCCTAAAAAGAAAACGAAATAAAATTTAATATGTTTATGCTATTTCACTTTCCCTTTCAACAAAATACATGTCTTTTTCTATTGTTAATATTTTGACACTAAATATAATTAATTATAAATTATAATTAATTAAAATTATTAGCAGCGACAAAATATAAAATATAAAATATATAATAATTTAAAAAATTACCACAAAGTTACAAACTATTTAAGAAAATTTATTAGCAAAAATAACAAATAGCTAATAAAGTCTGTAATTTGTCAATAACGAAAAAAATTTATATGAGAATGTTATTTAAGTAATACACTAATAAGTATATTAAAAAAAATTTAAAAAAAGTTTTTTTAAAAAAATAATAATAAAAAAAAACCATTAAACCATCGGTTTAGCAAAACCGCCGGTTTTTCTCGTTCACACCGGTTCACACCAGTTCAATGGCAAGACCGATCTGCTAATTGAACTAGGCCGGCTAGTGTTCCGATTTTTGATCCGACCGCTCAGTCCGGTCTGATTTTTAAAACACTGAGTGTAATGATACTTTTAAAAATTGGATTGTTGGATTTATTTTGATCTAATACTTATACAATTTCATTATAAAGAATAAATTGTGTGATTGAGTCATTCAATTTTAGTAGAATCAATTATGCACTTCAACCAAAGAAATTTTGGTTTGATCACAATTTCTTGACTCCGTGATTTTGTTATATGTTGATGATTGAGCCAATTTTTAAAATATTGGTCATTATTTGTACTTGTATGTTGGACAAATTAAATATTTTGTTATTTAATCTTTTAAATAAATTATCGCTAATTATTAATACAAAAAAACTAAGAAACTAGCATAAGAATCTAACCTGAACAATAAGTGGAGGAACATCTAAGAAACTGTGAGCCTCCACCTTATACAAAAACTTCCTCCATGATTTATTCGGAAACTTAGAACGTTCAACTAATTCATCTGCCGTAATATCCATGAAAGCTTCCACAAAGAAAGCACCTTTTCCATTGCAATCCACCTCAAGCTTTTTGTCATCATCAATGTCATCGTCCAAATTAGAGGAACATCTTCTCAACCTCCCTGCGAGAGGGTAATAATCCACTAAAACTCTAGATAGAGAAGATTTCAAGTTATTCAAGTTGACTGATTTCTTGAAAATGTATAAATACTTGATAGAAAATCTAAGAAAGTTTTGGTCATCAAGATTGGAGAGATAGAGAGAATGTTTTGGCGTTGGAGCACTTGGTGGAATATCTGTGACTGGTTCACATGGATAGGTGCAATTAGGGAGTTCTATTGATTTTGACATAATCTATAACTATTACAGTAATAAAGAGTCGTAAACAGAGAAAGGAGATGATAAGAAGATGATTGAATGAAAGAGTGGATTGAGAAAACTTGTATAAATAATATTTTTAGATGTGAATGTGACTAGACATTAGTGTAGGACCACTTCATGTGGGGTATCCAGGGTATAAAAAATAAACTAATACACCTTTTGAGACACTAGTTTTATTATTTTTCTCTTATACTTTAAAGCTATGTATACATGCCATGAGTTGTTTAATATCGTTTACGGTGCTGCTATGTTTGAGTTTATTATAAATTCACACGCACTTGTTGTCTTATAAATAGAGGTAATGGCTATTGATTATAAATAGAGGTAATGGAAATTGAGTAAATAATAGAATTAGAAGTAGGGAAAAATAACACTAAATGTTGTGGATTTAAAACGCTTCGACACTACATATCTCTTAAAACTAAGAATTTAAGAGTATGAGTTATTTTTTCACATATTTTGAATTCTCCTAGATCATGAGGTTATTGGTGTTATGAATAAAAAAAATTCTTCAAAATCCTCCCAACAAAAATCCTTCAATTCTTTGCATTCAATCCTTCCTATTTTTCAAAGCTCTCACATCTCTTCTCCTCCAAACTCTCAAACAAAGCCAAGGCAGTAGGGATAAGTGTCTTTTCTCTTATATATCTAACATTTCCTCCATTTCTAGTCAATGTAGGACTTTATCCACGCACACTTGAATTTCAACAATCTCACCCACAAGTGTGAGTTACCCATATTACCAGCCTTTATCCATAATAAGATTTATTTCACTCCCTACCGAGCCTAACCATGGCATTACTAGCACTTATTAGGGAGTTCGGAGAGCGCCAGAAGTGTCAGTGGACTAAACATTTTGGGTTCAAAAGACCTCGACACCACATACCCACCCAAAACCTTGAGGCATTAGGGGATATGTGTCATTTCTCTTATATGTTCAACATCTCTTTCATTTATAGTCGATGTGGGACTTTATCCACTCACACTTGAATCCCAACAATCTCCCTCACAATTTGTGAGTCACCCATATTACTAGCCTTTATTCACACTAAGTTCCACTTTCGCTCTCCATTGAGTCTAATCATGGTTCTGATACCACTTGTTGAGAAGTCTAGAAAGCGCCGGAAGTGTCAATAGGTTAAATAATATGAATCTAAGAGACCTCGACACTACATATCTACCCAGAATCTTAAAGCATTAAGGATATGAATCATTTCTCTTATATATCTAACATTTCCTTTATTTCTAGTCGATTTGGAACTTTATCCACAAACATTTGAATCCTAACAATTGTGGAGAGAATATTGTAATAAATTTTGATATAGTGAAATATTCTTCAGAGTTTGTCCGATGGATTTTTCCTTAACATTAGTGGGGTTTCAATTTTATTGCTACTATTACGCTACAATATCCAAATTTCACACTTATCAAATTTAATAAGTAGTACTAGAGCTTGTAAATCAAATGGAGTAGATCATTGGTACCATGGTATATAGTAAAGGTGTTCGTGAATTAGTAGGGTAGAATTTAATTAAATTCAATATCCAAATTAATCTTAGTATTTAGTCTGCATTGAATGTTTAACTCATGCTTCTAAGATTAAAATTGAATTAAACCAATCTGGTCCTCTATGGATTAATTTGGGTGGGATTTTATTCATGCGCTAAATATAATTTTTAGGTTCAAAATAAAAAATAAGTTCAATTAACACATTTTTGTACATAAGCATTCAAAAAATCATAATTTTTTTTAGTTAATTTGAATAAAATGTATCATATAATTGACTTCTCTCCAAATGATCCACTATCTTTACCACAAACATGTCTTCTTTCTACATGCTTAAACCATCTAAGTCCATTTTCCATCATCTTCTATACTACATGTGCTACTTCAATACTCTCTCTAAATATTTTCATTTTGTAAGATGTTGGATCGAACTCTAGTATGGTCGGAAGGTAGCTTTTGGTTTGACAAAAATTAAGCATGAGGTCGAAGTCTGTCTGCATGCTGCTGTCGGAGTAATGTGTGTTGTAGTCGAAGTTTGTTCTAACATGCATTAGTCAATATTGCTAGGGTTGTTAGCATGTTAAATTGGGCCTTGCTTGTAAGTCAATTGTTTAAGTTAGCTTGTATCCTAAGTTAGCTTGTAATGGGTAATTGTTAAAAAGCCCATTAGGTTAGTGTGCTAATTTTCTTATAAATAGGATGCTAGTTTCTCAATCTTGGCATAAGGAAAAATAGGAAAATAAAATCTTAATTTCATGAGAGAGAGGTTATTTGTTATTGTTGTATACTTGTAATCTTGTTTCTAAGAGAAAAGAAAGAATAGCATTTTATAACTAATCCTTGTTGTTCTTTGTTGTTTTACCTTGTTTTCTTTGTTAATCCTAACCCTTGTGTGTTTCTTGATAACAAAGGAACTGTTTATACTTTGTTTCAAGGTATTCGATTCACAACAAATTGGTGCAGTGAGCATGGAGAAAATGCCTTCAACAAAGTATGAGATCGAATAGTTCACCGGAGTGAACAACTTCGGTCTGTGGCGCTTGAAGATGAAAGCCCTACTGGTTCAGCAGGATTGTTTGGAAGCGTTGAAGGGTGAGGCAGCCATGGACGTGCGTTAACGGCAAAATAAAAGACGGGCACGATCGAGAAAGCCCACAACGCAATATTGTTGAGCCTTGGTGATAAGGTTCTTCGACAGGTATCAAAGGAGACTACAACACCGGGATTATGGGTGAAACTTGAAAGTTTGTACATGACCAACTCTCTGGTGAATCAACTCTACTTGAAGCAAGCTTTGTATTCATTCAAGATGAGTGAAGACAAAGTGTTGGCTGAGCAGTTGGATATGTTCAACAAGCTGATTCTTAATCTTGAAACTATTGATGTGAATATCGATGATGAAGATTAAGCATTATTGCTGCTGTGTGCTTTGCCCAGAACACATGCTCACTTCAAAGAAACTCTCTTGTATGGAAGGGAGTCCCTGACCTTTGAAGAAGTTCAATCAGCCTTGTATTCTAAGGACTTGAACGAACGAAAGGAGCATAAACCTTCGACGGTGGGTGAAGGTTTGGCCGTTAAGGGGAAATTCTTGCGAAAGGATGGTAAGTTCAACAAGAAGAAAGGTAAAAGTCAACAGAAATCTTATAGTGGCGAAACATCTGGTATTCGATGTTATCATTATAAGAAGGAGGGTCACACAAGAAATTTGTGCCCTGAACGCCTGAAAGATCACGGAGGTAATGGCAACGCAACCATTGTTCAAGATGACTTCGACTCATTTGATTTTCTTGTGGTTTCAAGTGGTGACTTGAGAAAATAGTGGATTATGGATTCAGGTTGCACTTGACACATGACTCCAAACCGAGAATTGTTTGAGGAGTTATGTGATCAAGATGGTGGATTCGTGCTGCTGGGAAACAACAAATCTTGCAAAATTGCAGGTATTGGATCTGTGAGATTCAAGCTCCATGATGAGTCGATAAGGTTATTGACTGAAGTCAGGTATGTACCTGACTTGAAGAGAAATTTAACTTCTCTTGGTGAATTCGACAGAAAGGGATACATTTTTCAAGGAGAGAAAAGTATCCTAATAGTCATCAAGGGATCGAAGGAAGTCTTGAGAGGCGTGAAGAAATAAGGCTTGTATACCCTTGAGGCCGAGGTTGTAAGTGGTTCGACAAATGTTGTATCCATGAAACCTGTGTCGAAGACAAAATTATGGAACATGAGATTGGGCCATGTCAGCGAAATAGGCCTGATCGAATTGAAGAAGCAGAAGCTGCTAGGAGGTTACAAAGTCGAAAAGTTAGAGTTTTGTGAATCTTGTGTATTTGGTAAATCCTGTAGGTAGAAGTTTAACAAAGGCAAGCAAAGAACACATGTATCCCTGGATTACATTCATGCTGATCTTTGGGGGCCTGCAAAGAATCCTTCACACTCAGGTGTAAGGTATTTCCTATCCATCATTGATGACTATTCTAGAAAGCTATGGGTATTCATTCAGAAGACGAAGAATGAAACTTTTGAGAATTTCAAAAGTTGGAAGATTCTGGTCGAAACTCAAACTGGCAGAAAGGTTAAGAGGTTGAGAACCGACAATGACCTTAAATTCTGTAACAAAGTGTTCGATAGTTACTGTGTTGAGTCTGGGATTGAAAGGCATAAGACTTTAGCAGGTACTCCTCAACAAAATGGCTTAGCTAAGAGATTCAATCGAACAATCCTTGAAAGGGTTAGATGCATGTTGGTTAGTGCTAGATTGAAGAAGGTGTTTTGGGCGGAGGCTGTTTCGACAACAGCTTACCTGATAAATAGATGTCCCTCGACTGCCTTGGGAATGAAGAAACCTGAAGAAGTTTGATTGGGACATCCACCTAGTATCAAAAGACTGAGAGTATTTGGCTGTGTGACCTATGCTCATATTAGGCAAGATAAGGTCGAACCTAGAGCTCTGAAATGCATGTTCATGGGATACCCTGAAGAAGTCAAAGCTTATAGGCTATGGTGCCTAGAACCAGTTCACAGGAGGTGTGTCACCAGTCGAGATGTAGTTTTAAATGAAGCAGAGATCGCTTTCAAGAAAACTGATGATGCTGATGAAGAGCTGGAACAGGGAGAGATTCCTGTTGAGGTGGAGCATGTTGATGCTGAATTGCGTACCCCAAATGAAGTCGAAGAAGATGCAGATGATGTTGTCGAAGATGAGGAGACTGATAATGACTACCTGTTAGCAAGAGATAGATCGAGGAGAGTCATCAAGCTACCTCAAAGACTTGGGTATACAGATCTTATAGCTTACGCCTTAATCTCTACAATTGAGGTTTTAGACGAAGAACCTAGAGACTATAAGGAATTTATGAGGAGTCGAAAGAAGATTGAATGGTTGAAGGCCATGGATGATGAGATGAAATCTTTTCATGATAACAACACCTGGGAACTCATCAAGAAACCTGTTGGAGCCA